CTGCTGGAGGAGTGAGTGCTGAGAAGAAGAGTGCCCATGGCCAGCCCCGTCCCTGCTCCTCTAACTGTGGCTCCTGGCCTGCAGGCCCCTTCCTGCAGGCCACAGGGACAGAGGCATTCCTTCCTTCCATCTACCAGACCTGGGAAAGGAGCCAAGGTGTTGAGAGGCTCTGGGTGACTCGGGGGCTGAGAGTGGGCGGGACAGTCCCAGAGAAGAGTCTCAGGGTGGCACACACCAGCCTCTGGTTCCAGCCCTCCTCCAGTGGGAACCTATCCCTGGAATACTGAGCACCAGAGCTCAGATCTGATGGTTTTCACACCCAGCTGGGTCCTTTCAGGTTTCAGGCAACAAGAGCACATCCATTTTCTGTTGCCTTTTGATCATCTGAGTCTAAAGCAGGGAGCAATGATGTAAATAAGGAACATGTTCCAAAGGGAATCTGCCCTGTTCAACCAGCCATGCCCCAGCCTGGGCTGCAGGGCTCCAGGATGGCTCCTACCCTGTGCCATTGTCATTATGTACCCAGTACAACCTCTGATTGTCCTGAAGAAAAACAAAATTTGCCTGGCTTGTCTCCCAGGGATGAGAGGGACAGAGGACAGGGCACAGATGGGTATGGTTCTCTGAAAATGGTGTGACCTGCAGAGTTATTTAATAAACTGTGAAGCATCATGAGCTTTCTGCCCCAGGAGCCCCCTGGCCTGGAGATGGGCAGTTCTTTCTCTGTGCATTTTGGGTTTCAGTCATTTCAGAGTAAGGGCCTCACCTTCCACAGACCTTGGGTATCTGGTAGAGCCAAAGGTGACACCATCCAATGGACTGGGAAATGACAAAATGGAGCTTTGCAGTGTTGGCAACATCACTTCACCTCCCTGTGTCTCAGATCTCCTGGGTATCTACTTCCTCTTTGACTCACAGTGTGTAGGAAGCACATGGAAGGGTGTCAGAAATTAAGACTCCATGAAATGCGCTTAGATTTGGGGTTTTGAGGCCTGCCTGAATGTCTGTATTTCTTGGCAATGTTGGGCTCTTGGGTTTGGGAACTTGGATGAACACAGATCAGGGATTTGTGTGTGTATGTGCACGCATGTGTGAATCACACAGGGAAGAGCATTTGGTGCTGGGTGCCAGCCTTCTGATGGACGTGCGTGAGTCTGTGTCTCTGCATTTAGGGTACAGTATGCTAGCGAATGCCATCCCCTGACCCTAGTCCTCTTGCCTCCTTCCCATCCAGTGGCTTGGTTCACATTTGACCCCAATTCTGGGCACCGGGACATCATTTTATCGAATGACAACCAGACAGCCACGTGCAGCAGCTATGATGACAGGGTGGTGCTGGGCACAGCTGCCTTCTCCAAGGGCGTGCACTACTGGGAGCTGCACGTGGACCGGTATGACAACCACCCAGACCCTGCCTTCGGAGTGGCCAGAGCCAGCGTGGTCAAGGACATGATGCTGGGCAAAGATGACAAGGCCTGGGCCATGTATGTGGATAACAACCGCAGCTGGTTCATGCACTGCAACTCCCATACCAGCAGGTGCGCTGCAACCCTGCCCTCCTCGACCGAGGGTGGGAATGAGGGTCCTGTGGGACCAGTGTCCCTTCTGTTTCCAAGTTTAGGTGTCAGGAATGTGGGGGAGGTGTTTTCAGCCACTTTCCAAGTAGATTTGGTTAAGGAGACTCAAGGAGCCAACCTTAGTGATCTTTAGCTCCAGGCAGAGTCAGCTCTGGAGGCTCTTGGAGCATCAGGTCCTGGTGGGAGCAGGGACTTGCCTGAGGCTTCCCAGGGGATCTAGCAGCAGACAGGGCCTCTTCCAAGCTGCCATTTCAGTAGAAGGGACTCCTGTCTCCAGAGGCCTGGGGAAGGGGTAGGCAATTCTGTCCCTCTGCACCCTCTTCCTGGGCCGTGCAGGCTGCCCAGGTGCTGCAGGCTGACCAGATGCTGGGCCTACCAGCCCCTGTTCACAAGCCACAAAGGAGCTGAGTCCAGGCCCAACAGCTTCACCTCTGCTTGCTTGAGGCAACCAGCATCCAGATATACTTTGTACTCAAGGCTGCAGGAAGCACCTGACTTGTATGATATCATTTAGTCCTCACTGAAGTACTATTGTTATCACCATTTTACAGATAATGAGATGGTCTTAGAAAGGTTGAACAGTGGCCTGTCCCAGGCCTAATAAGTGGTGCTTAACTCAGGACCCCAGCTCAGTTCTGCATGTGCAGTTGGGGCACAGGGGAGCCCGAGCAGTGCTGTCTTGCACATAGCTGCACCTTAGGCTCGTCGTGGCCACCACCCAAGTGGTCAGCATCTGAATAGCACCATGGGCCCGGTCCAGTTGCCTTCTCTGACCAGGGTTTTGCGCTGGGGCTCCACTCACTGGGAAATATGCCCCCTTGGAGAAACACCCTCTGTGTCAGCCCACTGAAACTTTTCCTGTGCTCTCTGCGCCGAGGGCGTCCAACTGATCAGCTCATTCCCAATCAGGAAGGGACAAAAATGGTTTTATCACAGAAGATGTAACAGCAGAGGTCAGTGTGAAGACCTCAGCTCCTGCTATGGAAGGGGAGAGTCTGAGGGACATTGCCCCACCCAGCCCCTATCTCCCCCCAGACCCTTGGGAGGCAGGCTAGCCCATTACCCCTGGAGAGTGCTGCTCACTGAGACAGTCTTCCCAGTCCAGTGGGTATGAATTCCCATCACCCGAAACACAGTGTAACTTCTCAAGAGCTTTTTGATGTACATTGTCACCACTGCACCACTGCACCCATGGGATGGTGCCTCAGATGCCTTGATTCCAAATTCAGCATCTGTCCCCTGCTATGTTCTGCCTTTCATAGTGGGGAAGGGTCTTTCATAATCTCTCAAAGACCAGGATATCAGCTTCTGTCTGTCTCACCTGACTAAAACTGTAGAGGGTGCCAAGTTAGTTCTTTTCCTTGGCAGGTAAAGGAGTCTTCTCTACCTATGCTCCATGTTCCATGTGTTAAAGTGGGACCCACTCATCAAAACCCTAACTCCCTGGGTGTCTAGGCCTCGATACTATCAGGAAAGAAGGGATGGATAACCTGGTTCCTCTAAGCTAAGGGACCTTTCACGAAGGGTGGGGTCTTTCTGTGTGGGCCCCTTAATAGCAGATGCACTCCCAGAACACCTATGCCCAGAGGAATAGCTCCCTGTACCCCATCCTCACCCCCCGTGGTGGCTGTGATTTTTGGCTAAGGCTATTCCCAATATCCTTTAAGTGATTCTCCTGAGCCATCACCTCCATTCCGGGCTAGGTGTGGTGATGGGGCTTTCTGGGGCTTCTCTTCACAGGACAGAGGGTGGTGTGTGTAAGGGGGCCACTGTTGGCGTGCTGCTGGACCTGGACAAGCACACTCTGACCTTCTTCATCAATGGGCAGCAGCAGGGCCCTACGGCCTTCAGCCATGTGGATGGGGTCTTCATGCCAGCCCTCAGCCTCAACCGCAATGTACAGGTACTGTGAACCCCTTGGGGCCAGGGCACATCTGGCTACTCATCCCTCACCAGGGCCTCTGAAACACCTTGGGGCTAAGTGGGCTATAAAGAAGCCAACTGCAGCACCCACCCAGACAGCAAACTTACCACCCGCCTGCCTGGGGCCTTCGCTGGACATGGCCCTCTCTGATGTGATGAGTTTCTACCTGATCACTTGAAATAAGCTGGGGCTCTAAGGCAGCAGTGTGTGGAGACACAGGAAAAGGGAAGAGAGTAGAGGATGGAGCAGGGAAGCAAGGTGTGATTCCTCTTTTGGGAAAGACTGCAGTGAAGCCTGATGGTCATGTGTGTGTGCTGGGCCTTTCAGGGCAGGGAATGCGAAGCTGGCCTGGAGAGAAGAAATAGCCAAGGAGAGTTGGGAGAGACCAGTTCTGGGTGCTGTGAGCCCCCTCCAGCTTCTCCCACCCTTTCTGCCCCTTTCTGGTTCCCACGTGAGCAGGCAGGAAACTCCCTTCAGAGCCCAGGGCTGGGCCCGAGTCCTAGGGGAGTGTGGATGGCTCAGGAGGCCCAACCCAAAGCCAGCAGAGACAAATGGGAGCCCAGTGAGGGAGTGGGGGAAATGTAGAGGCAGCATCCTTTGTTTCTAGCAGAGTCCTCCTGCCCCTGGGTGGAGGGATCCCTGCTTGGTGGTGCCCACGGGCTCTGAATATTGATGGGTGCACAGCAGTTACCCGTGGATTGATTTGTATCTCCACTTTTTGCAAAAAGGGCTTTGAGGCAGCCTGAAATGACGGCTGTTACTCCACAGGGACAATAGAACAGATATATGAAAAGAACAGGGGCCACAGAAAGAAGCTGAACCAATATACAACCACAAGAACCAGTACTTCTGGGCCCCTTCAGTGAGGGCAGAGGGGAACCCAGGCTGCTCTGGTTCCTGAGGAAAGAGATTCAGACCAACTCCTTGGACAAATGCTGGGTTCTTACATAAGTTGTGCTGAGTGGCATACAAGCAGCACACCCACAATACAGAGAAGCCCTCAGGTTCCTGCCAGTGGCCACCCCTGAACTCACAGAGCCCGCAGTGCTGTTTGAGTGCTCGGTCCAAGTGGTGGCCTCTCCCACCCTCACGTGGCCTATCTCTGTTTCCAGGTCACCCTGCACACAGGACTGGAAGTGCCAGCAAACCTGGGGTGGCCAAAGCTGTCAGGCAACTAGCCCTCCAGCTCCAGCTCTCCACCGGCATCTGGGAAAAGCCCGACCATCCCTCACTAACCCCCGAAGGCAGGGCAGCCACGTCATGGGTGCAACTCAGCTGGCACGGAGTATCTTAGAGACATGCTTTCTTTGGGGAATGAAGAAGGGGTCCATGCTGTTTGAGGCCACTGTTGGTGGTGAACTCTGGTGTGTTTCCCCTTCATTCCACCTGACATAACAAATGATCACAAGGAAGGACGTTTCTCAAGAGAGTGAGAAAGCATTCAGGGCTTTTGGCTATGTTTCCTGCCATCTATTTTCAGAGCTTGTCTTTTTGGGGAACAAGAGGAGGGCAGTCTTTGTCATGGGCATCCAGAGAGCAGCAGGCAGAGACACTCTGGAATCTCAGGCTCTGAGTGCCAGTTCCTGCCCAGGATACCACTCCTTCAGAGCCCCAGCTTGCAGGTTCTCGTCTTTACCTGGAAAAGGCTATCCTTGAGCCTTTGGGGACTGGATTCTTCAGTATATTATGCCACTTGCAGACCTAATCCAGGATCAGTAGAAAGGGGCATGAATCATCAATCATTGAACGGTTGAAACCTTTATAGTTTCCTCAGGTCCTTCATTAATCAGCCAATCTGTCTCTCTCTCATACACACACATGCACAACACACGCATACACACATGGGCACACACAACAGTCTGCTAAAATTCATTCCTTAGTTCTTAGTTCTTAAACACAGACAAAAACACTGGAATTTGAATGGCTATGTGATAAGCTTTCACTTGGTCGGGGGGACTCTTTTCTGGAACTGGCTTCCCAAGAGGTTAAGTGCAAACCCATCTGAATTGCTCTTCTGATCGCTGCCACTCCCAGACTCATAAGCATGTAAAAGGGGAGGCCCTCCTGGGAAAGCCTGGCAGAGTTGGTCCACCTTCACTTTGAAACCCATCTTACTGTCTTCATGAAAGCATTATGAAAGGAAGAAGTGGCCCTGATGGCAGGGGTGGTTCTGCTGTGGAAGGGCAGGCAGGACCTTTGAAGAAGGCAGGAAATAGCAATATTATGCTCTTGTCTCTCAGCTTCCCAGCATGAGCCTGGGTGTGTGGAGGCCACGTGGCCAGGGCAGGGCTCTGGGAGCCCTCTCCTTGCTGGGAACACTGACTTTCTCCCTTGAAACCAAAGTGGGGTCATTTCCGTCCCTCAGAGCTCTCTCTAGGATCTGAGCCTGGAGCCTGCCGTGCTCCTGTCCCCAGGGTACCTGACCCTTCCTCTTCCATCTCTTCTTCCCTGTCACCTGCCACCTCCATTTCCATCTGGTAGTAAACCGCTCTCTCTCCTTTTTTAGAGAATATGTTTTCTTTTTGCGGTTGAGGAGTACTTTGTCTATTTGCTGGATTGGACTTCTGTAAAACCTAGCCTGTAAACTGGCACCAACTGTGTTGACTCGGTCCTATCTACTTGCTTAGACACTGCACTTGTTTCCCAAGTAACCCTGGCGATGTTGCACACAGCTTGCCCTCTGTCCAGTAGACCCAACGATCCTACCTCAAAGCCCACGCTCTTGGACCACAGGGCTGCCTTGTCCCTGCTCTGTCCACAGTGTAGCCAGCTCGGCCACTGCCTTCAGGAGCTGCTTGGTGCTGCATTTCTGCCACCACCACCAAGTTCCTGGCACCCATCTGCTCAGGGGAGTTGAGGTCTTGCCCCTTCGATCTTGTTAGCCGAGTGGTTTCTGGTACATGGAGGTGCTCCTCGTCTTGTCCCAGAGCCCGTTGGGTGATGGCACGGCCTGGATGTCCTCACCTATGTAGCTGCCCCTCTTTCCTGCCCCCACTTCCCTTCTGTCTCACTCTGCAGCCATAGCTCTAGTGGACTTGGCTGGCAGGGTAGGCCACATTCCTAAAGACTGGAGGACAAGGGAGCCACGCATTCCTGGGGCCGAGGAAGCTGTGGCTGGCAGGTCCATACACATCAGCACTGGGAAAATCTAGTCTTGTGGAAAAGCACTGGGAGTACAGGTGTGCTCAGGAGGGTGAGCTGGGCAGGGCCTCCTGGCAGAAGTGGCTTTTACAGCTGCATCCAAATAAAAGGCCAGGGAGCTCCCAGGACCATCGAGACCAGGGTCTCAGGCGGCCCTGCCTCTGCCTCTTTAGAGAGGAGCTGCTCTAGGTCAGTGTCGACTTAAGGACACCCTCAGGAAAGCCAGCATCCAGGCCAGGAGGTGTGGAAACAGAAAAGGGGAATTCCCACAATTTCAGTGGCCACTTTTGGGAAGAAAATGTCCTGAAGTTCAGAGGGAAGCTGCCAGGACTCGCACCCTATGTGCAGCCATCTGCAGTCCTAGGGGCCTGTGGGCATGGCACCATTCTACCTGAACCGACTCCTGCAGGAGCCCAGAAGCAATATGGATGACACCAGGGACCATGTCACTGCCCTGCAGCAATGTCTCCTGTCCACAACAAAGAATACCTTTCAGGGACAAGAATGGGCCCAAGAGAGAAGGTAGGTCTGTGCCACACACTTGTTGTTTGGAGGGATCAGCAAAATGAAGAAGGTATCACCAACTCATGGCCTTACGTCATCCCCCCAGAAAGCCCCTGGGATTCGGAGTAGAAGAGATGGGTCATGGGCTTCTCCTCTGCATTGAATTCCCTGCTCCTTTACCATGCAGTGGCATTTTTGTACATAGAAATAATATTGAGATGATGATTTTGCTGGGATGGCTGAAGAATAACTCAGTGTTAGTCTATCAAGCAGTTTCAATGAGAAAGGAGTTAAAGTAATTTAACATGTCAAGTCCCATTGCATTGTAAATCATGCCTCCATAACTTAGTTCTGTAGATTGTCCTTTGCTAGTGAGGAAGCTTGGCCACACTGTATGCCTTTCCTTTTAGAATCAATCTCTTTAAATAATATCTAATAGCATCCCACTATGTGACATCATCACTCCAAATTCAAAGCTAGGTAAGTGATACCCACAACACTTATCCCTCTGTCCTGTTTGGGAAAATTATTCCAGTTAAAGCAGACATCAGTAATCCTGACCTACGAAGTGACTGACCTAAACACTATAAACCTGTATATAGTGCTGGGCTGAATCTCTGGCCCCATGTGTACTCCACAGCTCCAACAGTGCCCTCAGGTGCCCCGTGGCCCACCAAGACTGGGGAGGGCCATACCATCCAGAGAGCCTGGGCAGCACTGGAGTTCACCAAGAGTGACATGGAGAGGCCCATCCTCCTTGCTCTGGGGGACCTTCTGCCTACCGCAGCACTCTCAGGAAAGGATCAGAATGTGGGATCTACGTGTACTTCTTCTAGGGATATTTGCACTTAAGCCTTAATTCTAATTGCAAGGGAAAGGCTTGGTCCCCTGTGAAGGCATGTTTCAGCACAGAAGAGCAGGTGGCTCATTAACGAAGCTGCTGCAGGTCCCATGGCCACTTGCTGGCTATGAGATAGTGAGGGCGGGTAATCCTTGGGGGAACCCAACATGGGAATGCCAAAAAAGTTACGAAGCCCATGGACGATGGGTTCCTCACTCTCAGCACTACTGGCATTTTGGGGTGGGTGATTCTGTTGGGGGCTGTGCTGTGCACAATAGGATAGCCAGCAGCATTCCTGGCTCCACCCACTAGGTGCCAGCAGCACTGCTTGAGTTAATTGTGACAACTGAAAGGGTCTACAGACATTGCCAAATGTCCCCTGGTGTGTGCCTCTGGTTGAGAACCACTAGGTTTGCCAGTGGTTTGCAATGGTTGCAAATGTGTGGGGCATCCACTCCAGTGTTACACAGAAAGCCTGTATCACATGGCTGCATGCCTTCATCTTAATACCCAAGACCAGGATTTTCTGTGGGTCTGCAGTGCTGTGCTAGCTCGGGCAGGAGGGGGATCAGGGAGCTGAGAACAGAAGCCGCCCTAGGTCTCACTTCGCATTCACTGATGATGCCCCTAACCCCCACCCTTTACTGAGAAAGCAAAACTCATTCCCTTTGTTTTCCTTGGCCTCCTCTGACTGGAAGCAACAGCAATTTCTTAATGGGTTTGTGGCCTTTAACTGGTTAATCAGATCCCATTAGAAGATATTCAAGGTCTACGCTGATCCTAGGAAATCTCGATTTTTGTTTCCCAAGTAGCCAGCAGCTGCTTTCATTGATCACCTTCCATGGCAGTTTCTCCTCGACCAGAAAAGGATCCTGGCAGCTTTAACTTTAAATAGACTGTAAAGTAGGTAAGAATAGGTTTGGGGCAAGATGTATTGATCAGAACCAAATTCAGTCCTCAGACACTCATCTCTTTTAACCTGGCTTTGGTATTGGTTCATGTTATGGTGGGGGCAAAGCTCTTAAATCTTTCTGTGCCTCAGTATTCCCACCTGCAAATGGGAATAATCATACTAACCTACCTCCTCTGACGTCTTGTGAGGATTATAGGATAACACTGTTAAAGAAACAAGGGCAGTCTTTCACCTATTGAGTCTGGGCTAATGGTTCATGTGCCACGAATCAAGCCTGCATGTTGACTTTCCAGAGTATTCTCTGACCAGTGTCTTCCATTCAAGCCTCTTATGACCAGGAGCATGTATTTATTACACAGCTGCCTGGTCTTGAGGGGGTAAAATTGACATTTAAAACAGGCTTCATATGACCATAGAAAGCAACATCCCAAATGTCCCCATTCCCAGTAAGGCTCATTTTAATGGTGCTGTAAAACAGGCTACTTATCAATGTTCTCACTGTTAGTCCCAAAGGCATCTGCCTGCAGAAGCCCCCTTCAAACATGTTAAGAGATTAACCTGCCTTTTTGCCTCCTTGGTTCCCTTAAGTGCTGGTTTCTAAGGGTTCTCCCAACCGATAGTATGTCTTTATTTCTAAGGATCTCAACAGACAGAGCTGAGATAGTTGGAAACAATGTCTATGAGTAACACGAGATGGCACCAGCTACAGTCTCAAAGGTGATGGGGGTCGGGGGATGCTGGTGGGTGTCACATGGCTGGAATATACCATCTGTGAGGAGGGACTCTCAGCCTTTGCCATGAATAACACCAATCTCAGTCAAAAGGAGATGGGAGTTGAACCCTTAGAGTGAAGACTGGTCCCAAGGAGCTGCTGTTCTGTCAAACATGTGGCTCATGTCTAATGGGGCCTGGGGAGGACCCCAGCAAGTGAGTGAGCCTCCGGCCAGGCCTCAGAAGGCTGTGGGGTGAGTCCAAACACAGCTTCACACTTGCAGAATTGACTGCCTGTGGCTGAGAGGGCAGGTACATGGCGAGTCCTGGAGGAGACTCCAGTGAGGTAAGGCCTGTCCAGTATCCCCATGCCTGGGACCCACACCCGCAACCCAGGTATCTTTAGCACCATGAGGAAGTGCAGTGTGAGCAGAGTGTTAAATGCATGATGTAGAATTGCTGCTTTCGCACTAAACTGTTGTACTAAGCATGAGAGATGTTTGTTTAACGTTGGCAAAGGAATTTAAAAAGTAACAAAAAACTGTGTCAATATTTTGGCCGTTGACAGAACCTCCATTTTCCTGCCTTTCTTTGCCCCTCTTTTCTCTGTTCTCTCCCACCCTCCTCCATCACATCCATTTCCTGTCACTGGTTGTTGGTATTTGGTGGCACCCTTGGTCCCACTGGTGTTCATCTCCCACTGGAAATGCAGAGGAGGTAAAGGGGAGGGAAGCGATGTTTTTCTAATTTTTGTATTGGTATCCACATGCGTTTGTATTTTTTGAATTGCAAACACTGTTTTCTGGTTTTGGGGGTTGGTTAAACTTTGTGTATTGCCTTTTGGAGAACCTGTTTTACCATGGTCTTAAGCAGATTTGAAATAAATTCTTTGACACTGCCAACAACTGAAAAACAAGGCATGGTCTGTAATTACTGCACAGTGGCCAGGGTCTGCCTTTTTCCATGCTGACCCTGACTACCCAGAGAGACAGGGCAGAGGCTGCAGGGGGGAGAAGCTGCCCTGTCTTCCACCCAGAGGGCATGGGCATTGGTGGGCACCAGGGTCAACGTGGTTCTGCTGCATGTGCCCAGAAAATCTTGAGGTGACTTAATGTGACTGAATTGTAAGGACCATCTGTCTCTGGGGATTTTGTGGAATTCATTTTTGCAAGAGGTAATAAGGCTGTAAACTAGTAACAGTTAACATATGGTTTAAGATAAATTCATGAATAACAAATTGATAGTGGGTGATAAGTGGAAACTGAGATTTGGGGAAAACATCCTAATAACCTAGGGACATCAGGGAGACTAACCAGCCCAACCTTACAGTCCAGGGGTATCTGTCAGGAACTCTTGTCACCTGTTGCTTTCCTCAAATTTGGACCATCAGGAGCAGCCATCCTACATGCTCCCAACAGCCCCCGAGACCTGGCCTCACCCTCTGGTTGCCTGCTGGGTTACTGAAGGGTTTCACTGGGTAGAGGGCAGTTGTAGACTCAGATTAGAGAGCAGGACATTTATTAGCAGGTGCTTTTGGGATCCACACCCTTGGAATGAAAGGAAAGGAAGCAGGATTGGGCCCAGGGAGATATCAAGCTGAGATGCAGACCAGCAAAGGCCTCAGCCAACTCAACTCCACAGCAGTCCCGAGTTGGGATGAGAGGCCTAGACCTTAAGATGCTCCTGTCAATCCTTCACTGGCTGTGGATTCACCCCAGGAATCAACAAGGCCATCCCTGGGGAGGGTTAATAGCAGGAGGGGGTGCTCTCTCTCGTCTTGGTAGCTGAGAAAGTCCTTATTTCTAGAAGGGGGTCTGAGAGGAAATCGCCGTGTCCACCAGGCCAGCCCGTGCCACAGATCTGTGCCTCACTGAAGTATGGGGAGAAACTCTTCAAGAATTCCAGGGAGGAAAGCTTAAATGAGGAAGGTTGGGGAAAAAAATACATCCCCTGCCACTCTAGCTGGTCTTGGACTGGCAACACTCATCGCCTCTGCTTTTTGCTTGGCTCCCCTGGCCCTCACATAGCACTTCTGCTAACCTGACCGGGGGGACCCTTTCCCTGGGGGGTCTGGACCTCTGGTCACCAGTTCCTTGTCCCAGGTCACTGCACTTGTCCATTCACCATCAACATTGGGCAAAGGGCATATCAAGAGATGCCCCAGTGGACTTCCTGGCTGCAGATTCCTTCCTGCTCCCCTGGGTGACAGCAGCTCTACCTGCTCTTTATAGTCATGGTCAACCACCCCTGCAAGGTGGGAGCTCTTCCTGCCAGGCAACAACCTTGGTTCAGTAGGACACTAACTGTTTTCTGCTTCTCCCGTTGGGAAACAGTCTCTGGGTCCACAGAACCAAGAGTTGCAGGGACAGGAATCACAACTTCCCTTGGTGGATCACTGGGAGGAACAATAAGCAGGAAGCTTGAAGCTTGTGCGGAGTAAGGACTGATCCTCACAGAGGTGTCCACAACTGGGAAGAAGCTCCTGCAAAGGGGAGATGGCAGATTAAGACAGTGAGGAAACACTTATCCACCACCCCGAAGCCCAGTTTCTTTCCTTTGCTTTTTGCGGCCAGGATTTTGATCAAAGCCGTCTTCCCTTGGATGACTGTTTCTCACTGTGGCTTCTATCTGTGGTTAATCTTGCTGGAGAAAGCTTTATCAATGGGAAATAAAAAGCAAGGTCTAACCATGATACTCAGTCCTTAAAGTACAAGCTGCTTTCTTTCAGTCCCTAAATCTGTTTCTAGAATGCCCAGTGGTCACAAAACTGCTCTTTAAATATTTATTCAGCAAATTAAAAGGCTAAACCAAAAAGCAATTTATACTTGGAACTGGCATGCTTTTCCAAAACTGACTGGCCTGGGACAGTGCTCCGTCGTCTGGGCCATGCAGCTGTGGGAGGCAGGAGTAAGGTGGGGCCAGGCTCTCTGTTGAAAAAGGAAGGGAGGCATACTGATCCAGGACCACTCTCATAGGTCATTTCTAACTCAAGGTTCTTCCTAGCATTGTCACGTTTGGGATCTTCTACACCCTCTTAAATCATTACTTTTAAAAACTGCCCATCTGTCCATCTCATCCATCCATCTCCTAATGAATACTGCCTTTCAAAATAATCCTGGAAAGTAAAATATTAATTCCAATTTTGTGTCAATTCAAAACATTTTTTTAGCTCATTTGGCAATGTCTTTGGAGTCAACTTACAAGTCAGATAAAGAAGTCAGCCATTTACTCTGTTTTCACCAAAATTTGGTTATTTACTAGGTCTGGATCTGAATTGTTGGCAAAAAAAAAGGGGGGGTGCCAAATTGATTACCACCATGAATTTTTTAAATGTGCCACAAGCTTTGAGAAGTTTCAGACACTTTCAGCAAGGGTGGTATCTTTATAAAACAAATGTTTAGCTCCCCAAGGTAATTACTTTTGAAGATTATATTTGATTAAAAGTAGCTACTAGGATATTCCTCTGTTGTGTTATTTAATAATCATGGCTATATATACCACAAAAGTTGTACTTTAGTTACATAACTTATCAGGTAGACTTTATACACCTGGTAGGCTGAAAACTAAAACTGCTCTAAATTTTTTTAAAAATTAAAACATCTGTCAAGTTATCACATTCTTTCATGATACAGTAACATCATTTTTTAAAAACTGAGGCACTTTAAGCTTATTATTAGCATTTACAAAATCAGTAAATTTATGAAAAAAATCTTACCTTAAGCAAATGCACAAAACACCAAAATGAAACTAGAGTGAGCTTTGCTGGAGATTAAACATCATTTTCAATAGGTTTACTTTATGTTCATACTATAGCTGGCCCAACATGGTTATTACTGCAAAACAGACACCTTAGCAACCTGAAATTTTATTATTTATAATTTATTTTTTCCCTAAAATTTAAAGTCTATGTATTGAAAATAAATAATAATCTAGAAGTCTCACAGGAGTTCAGTTTCAGTATAATGGCACTTTCCCAGTCCTCTCTCTATGTTACAAAGTACTTCATTTAGCCACTCGGGAAGAATTAATTTTCTTGATATCAACTTGGCTCAGAATCAATGTCCCATTTTTGAATTTTCCAACCTGTCTACTCCATCCACTTGACAAAATGGGAGCTGATTTCTTCTTTTTGAGTTTCCTGCATTTAAATGAGAAAGGTACTATGGTTAAGCTTATAGAGGACTGCTGCACCGCCAACCAGGTGAGCATGGTCTGCCTGCATATACCAGGTTCCTTCTGCACTGTGCGCCACACCCGGCCCAACGGAACTGCCTTCCTATGGTGCCTGAAATGTGACATTCACACTCCTGCCTCAGGGCCTGGGCACTGCTTTCTTCTACGTGGAATGTTCTGCTGCCAGATCTTTCCAGACCACTTCCTCCTCTTCACTCAGTTCTCAGCTCAGATGTCACCTCCTCAGAATGACATCCCAGCCCATCTCCCAGTGATTTTCTTTTACAACCCTGTATTTCATCCTCTTCACAGAACCTGCCAGCCACTGACATCCCCTTTCTTACCTGCTGTGTGTTCCTTTGCTCCCCTCACACTCTCAGCCTCCGAGGGCAGGGATGCCCATTGTGTGATCATGGCTGCATCCCACATGCCTTGGCCACCTGTGTGCCTGGCACACAGTGGGCCCTCAATAGACAGACATATATGGCCAGAACAAATGACTGCCTGATAGCATATGCATGCTTACTAGGAGTCCAAGAAAAGGATTGAGGCAAAAGGAGTCCAGTTTGAAAGACAAATCCAAGGAGAGAGAAAGGCACTTGAACAAAAGCTAAGAAACAGGCATAAAGCAACAAAATCAAGGTTCTGTAACTCAAATCATGGTCCTCTATCTCGTGTGGTAGGCCAAAGAGCAGGCAAGACAGACAGACTGAGATGGGACATGCCATGGTATTGCAGTCTCCCTTAGCAGGGCACAGAAGTTCTTGGCCAGAAACATCAGGCTTAGCATTTCCACAACTCATGCGAAGTGTCTGGTCTTTGAAAATGGGAAATGGGAGAAGGTTCTAATTCAGCTCTGAGGTAGCTGTTTGAACTTGAACAATCTGCTAAATCCTATCTTCCCCTCAAAGGGCTTGATTAGGATATATGACAGATAGTGTAGCACTCTAAGGGACTAGAACACCCCAACATTTAAGGTATTACTTTCAGAACTTATCAAGAGGTTTATCCAGATCATACCACTCTAGTATCTGATGGTACCACTCACCTGTCTTCCTGCCCTTTCCTCTTCTTTTTCTTGAAAATATCTGTGTCCTGGGCCTGATTTCAGAATTTAAGATAACATGTGTCAGTAATGGATAATGGAAATTCAAACAAAAGCAAGAGATTTGTGAGGAAAAGCCACTGAGGTATCATTTTTTTTTTAGTACTTCTTCAAGTAGACATAATAAACATAACAAACTTTCATCCTAAAACCCTTTCAAGAATGTGAAAGGCCATTGCAGAGAAGACTGACAGTAGAAATATCAAATCTCTCATTATAGGTGAAAAAGGGGGCAAATCCCATCTATTCCCCTTGTTATCATAAACCCTTGTGTTCTACACTGTAAGAGCCCCTCGGCCAAAAAAAGACTCTAGGGTTAAAAAAACCAAATTAGCTTACATTATGTGAACAGCAGATTGCTATTTAAAAGCAGTCCTTTCATGTAAATATGCCAGATCACTTGGGTGGTATTATAAAATGTAGCTGACTTGAACAAGTGGAGAGAATTATCTTGTTGTCTACAGACCGCTTTAGGCAGCAGGTCCAACATTCCACTGGGGGACACCACACCACAGCAAAAACTGTTACACCCACCATTCTCTGTTCTTCCTCCTTTGCTGCCCTTTTTCCTTTGATTTGCTCCTGGAAAACCTTGTAATTCACATAACTGTTTTTAGGAGGCTGAAATTAAAGAAAAAGGACACATAGCATCATTTTTCATTTTGCAGAAGTTTTCCAGTTAACCCTGCCAACTTGCCCTGGGCTCTGCCATTCTGTGTCCTGTCTGGTGATGGAAGGCAGCCCCTCACCTTAGCACCCAGCATAATGGCGCGTTCCTGTTCCAGTACTCTTTCCTTTCCTTTTCCATAACCTGTGATCCCAAACCGGTGCACTTCCAAACGTGCCTGTAGACAAAGCAGAATAAGACCTGCATGAACTCCAAAAACTCCACAGAAGAGAGAAATCCCTAGGATGATGTATGTCAACTACCATGCGCTATACGTCAAATACTTTCATGCATCCTTATGACCTGCAGTATCTACAAGTAGCAAGAATTCTGGGATGGTGTGGTTTAAGGAGCTTTACAGAGATCTTACAGTGTTCCCTTAATCTCACAGTACGACTCTCCCATGCTGAACTGGAACAGCTGAAGCAAAGACTCATTCCCGCACCAATTAGCAACATAACTAGCATTAAATGCCAAACTTTCCAATGCCTTAGGATGCTCTCTAAAACAATCACTTATAAAGGCAATAATTTCAATTCAGAAGTACCTCTCCAAACATACGCACTCGCACTCACACTTAGAAACCATCTGTCATGGCAGCCTTGAACACAGGTCTGTGATTTTTCTTTAAAAAGACATTGTAAGAGGCAAGATGGCGGCGTGAGTAGAGCAGCAGAAATCTCCTCCTAAAACCACATATATTTTTGAACATACAACAAATACAATTCTTCCTAAAAGAGAGACCAGAAGACACAGGACAAGAGCTAGACTTCATCCACACCTGCGAGAACCCAGAGCCTCACAAAGGGGGTAAGATACAAGCCGGGGCCCGGCGGGACCCGAGCGCCCCTCACCCCAGCTCCCAGCAGGAGGAGAGGAGCGGAGCGGGGAGGGATTGGGAGCCCAGGACTGCTAAAAAGCCAGCCCTAGACATCCTCACCAGAGCACAGACACAGTGCATGTGTGGGGTGCTGGAAACTAGAGAAACAGGACAGTAAGACCTGTGAGTGGGTCCCCACAGCCGGCCCCCGGGGAAAAAGAAAAGCGAGTGCTTTTTGAAAGTCTTAAAGCCACAGGGGCCCCAGAGCTGGATGGAAGTGTCCCAGGAAATGCAGCCCAGCAGCTGGGAATCCCGGAGAACTCCGGGCACCCTAACCCCATGAGCAGCAGCACACCTTGGAGGCCCCTCA